GATCCATCGGACCTGTCCTTCAAATCGGGGAAAAGGAAGGACGTATTTGTCGGCCGCGTCGGAGGAGTCTTCGGTTTTGGACGTCCTTCGTCGCTGTGACGTATGCGGACGACGAATTCTGCCTTCGGAGGACCCAGCCTGCCGTTTTGGACACAGCCATCATGTTTTTAAAGCTTTTTTTCCCCTCCACATTTCATTCAGTTGAATTCATCCTTATTGTAACTCCACAAGCCCCTCTTCTGAGGTGTGTCTCAGATCAACTCGTTTTGAGGCTGTCTCTTTCAATCCATAGGTTGCACTTCACGCCCCGCCCCCCTCCATCTTTCAGACAGGTCCATTCTAGTTTGATAGAGAGATTTACGACTGTATAAATTTTTTAATTTACAAATGAATTAAAAGATGTCAACAAGGGAAGCCTTACATGTTGGAGCCAGAGTCTGACRCAGAGGAGAATGAAGATGACCAAATTGGTTAMTTGGTAAGTCTTAAACTTATTCATAAGTTTTGTCACAATAGAGAAAACTYAATGAGTTGAAAAATATGATCCAAACAGAATATTAAGATATATTTGCAGCACCTGGAGAAATAAACTATGCTGCACTTAGAGACTACAAGTGCACAACAAAATGCATATTATGGCTAAAAAATTGGATTTTGCATACAGTATGTCCTCTTGAGACAYGKGCTATAAGAAGCAYGAGGTGATATGCATTGTTTCSATGAATACTAAGCCTTTYWTTTATGTATTTATTTTTATTARACCCTTTTTACCAGGCTATTTATCATGCTAGATTGGTGCTGCATCCTTTAAATTGCAAAGAGCCATTTATCAAACATCCCCAAAACAGTTTTCATGTTTTCATCTAGGATTGATTGGACATGTGTGCAAAGCTGTTTCCTGTCTTGGATGAAAGGAATGGGAGGCTGAATCTGAGGAGCAACATGTAAAGTGGAAGCTTGAGGGGCTTCCTGTCCCACTGCAGAACAACAGCGTGGGGAGGAAGAGGAGGGGAAGAGGCGCGAGGATTGCTTTTCGTCGCAGCTGTTACGCCCATCGAGATGAAGTTGGACACTCATCGGGAGAAAAATAAACACACAGTGAAAAAAAAAAAGTGACTGCCAAAGGAGTGTGTGGAGGCTGCTGCGCGTAAAAATAGACCCGGATCTGGGCGCATGCACTGCAGCCACACAATCCAAGACCATCGCCACACACATTACGCAACCAAAAACCTCAAAGCAGAACATGAATAAGTTTACTACTTTAATCGATGTATTAATATGTCAAATTTGAACATGTAAGATCAAACGAGCAGAGTAAAAACGCGTCCAGTTAGCTGTTTGGGACCACGGGAAAAGGATCAACACGGACAGGATGTGACAGATTTTTTAAATCCACAGAAAGACTTGTTTCATGTTAAATATCACACAACCCGCTCAGTAAACACAAACAGCTGACTTTAACACAAAGCGTGTGCTCGATGTATGAATACACCCCCCCTCCTCTGGATGCTGTAAAACATCTGGGCGCTTAGTGGGAGAAAACAAAGTGTTTCCAGTCTCGACTGATATTAGCCGAGTGGCTAACGCTAAAGCTAAAGCTGCTAGCATCAACAGCAGCAAACACTGACCGCAGCTCAGCCGCCACGAACCAACACTTACCGGCTTTCTCCTGGTCGTATCCAACCACCATAAAATAGTCAGCCAATCTCGCCATGTCTGCTGCCTTTCCCGAGGTAGGCCAACACAATTCAGCATTTTTCCTTCTTCCAGAGAACAGCCATGTTTGACAGAAGGAGTGTCACTGCGCTTGCGTGCGGGGAGCGGGATACATCCATGGGCGTGGGCCCTTCGGTTTACAAATACAGCTCTGTTTCCACAACACAGCCTCCTTTTAGACCCCCGAAAAGGATTTTTTATAAAATCCACAACAGCCGAACAAACGTACAGCCACCACGCGAGAGTAATGCAGTGTTTCTGTATTTATTGAGACCGGATAGAGCTGTGATTTCTGCTTTTAGCTGGTCTAGCTCTATTTGCTGCGGAMATTTGAATGGAGATCCTGTCAGTGGCATGCGTGGGAAAAATACGGCCCGAGGACCAGAAGTGGCCCCTGGACATCATCCTTCTGCCCTGTCCTATCCAGACATAAAACAAGTTTTAATTAAGTCACTGCAAAGATTAAAGAGACACATTATAAAATCAGTCATTTAAAAACAAATCTAACAGTTTAAATGAGTATTTCATTGAAATGCAGTATTGGAATGCAGATACACACTACGTGTAAACAAACTAATTGCTGAATTGAATTGTCTGAAAATCTAAAAAATATATATTAATAAGCAAACTGTCAAAAACACATATCGTGGATCAAGCATGGCGGTGGAGCGCCATAAAGACAGAACTCAGCATTCAGACAGAAACATTTTTATCAAAACCTCTGCAAGACAGCTCAGTTTACCATTTCAACCCAACAGATATATTTTATTTTCATTTACTCATCAAATCTGAGCATAAATATACACTTGTTCTGCGTCACAGTGGAACTTAAAATTGTGAAGTTGAACTGACATCAGTTCTGATTCGTAAGGGTCCCAGTCAGAAAGTTGGGGAAAAAAATGCTTCTATTTCTTGCTCTGACAGAGTAATGTAAGAACAACACCATAGTACAAACAGCGCTGAAACATATAGTCTAATAATCGTTATAAAGTACAACAAGTATGACTGACTTCATGCTAAGAAAACAGAACTGCTAAAAACTGTAAAAGTAAGTTTCACTCACTTGATTAAAACATTCGTGTTTGGTCGTGTTGCACCGACTTCCCGATTCAAAATTACGACATTAGGGAGGCCTTCCAGTTAATATCTTCATTCAGAAATTCGTAATTCCAACCTCAGAGTAAAACTGGAGCACAGCATCAGATTAAACAAATATTTTATATATTAAATTAAATATCAGAAATATGTCTGCATGAAAAGTAAAATCAGAAAGAAGTCTGTCAGAGTTTGAAAAATATTTGTCATTTAAAACCAAAGTTACATAGTTTTGACTGCATTTTTTTTAAACCAAATGTGTTTGTTATTCTTTGATTTTGGGGCAAACGTCAATTAGATTCTATTATTGACACAGACTTTGTTTATGTGATTTGGCGTGCCTGTGGTTTGACACAACAAACTGGTTAGAGCAAAATATCGAATATTATTGAAAACAGGAAAAGCCGTCACAAAGTACAGCACGTGGTGAATGTGGGAGAGACAAATACACAAGCCTCTTTCGCCCTCAACAATAACAGGAACACAGCAAGCAATTTCCTTGTTTGTAAAGTGCGTCTTCAGTGTCTTTCTAATTTCTTATAAACAGTATTGCTTTCATTTGCTAAAATAAAAAGAGGTGGAGAAAGGGGTGAAGTGACACAAACCGAGACAACCTGCTTGTTTATTGTGTTCYTCTTTAAAGAAAATTTTCAGGAATTATGTGTAAGGACATTTCTCGCTTCATCACGATTTACAATATTCATGAATCAGCCTCCTCTTCGTGGAGCTCGACATCATTTTCTGCCCGGGGAACTTGTTCAGACACAAAGCAGGCTGGAAGGTGGTACAAAAGCTGTCAGTCYCCCTCAGACAGCGGCTTCGCACTGGAAGGGAAAAATATTGCTATATAAGGAGCCAAAAAAGCAACAGGAAGAATTTTGTTGTCACAAATTGCACCATCTCTTGTTAGAAACTCTGGTAAGGGGATTAGTTGAGCTGCTGGAGTCAATTATCATTACAAAGTGCTTACAAAAGATTTTCTAGTTTACATCCCATGTGTTTGCCATTTAGTCGAGCTTAAAATATGACACCACCCTTGGAATGAGGTCGCATGGGATATAAATAAACTCAGAAGGGTTTTTTTTTTATAATAAGATATGAACAATGAGGGAAGGGGGTGGATGGGGAAGTGTGTGTGTGTGTGTGGGGGGGGGGTGATATGTCACAGCTGAATGTCAGTCGTTAAGCAAATCAGATTTTATTTAGCTTTTCGTTCCAGTCAATGAAAGTGAAACGKGAATCAAAACTGAAAGTTTTACTTCTTGCACCACGCTTTGTGGAAATTTGTTCTCTGGAATTTTCTGCTTGTGGCTTTTTCTTTCTTTCCTTTTTAACAACATTTCATAATCCAAATGTAAGTTGTAAMATTTTAATTTACCACCACAAACTGTACAGACTTTCCTAACAGAGCTCAGGCTTAGTAATTATACAGATTGACAAAGTTGGTGACTAAAAGCTGTCACTTTTTTTTAAAATTTCAGATACTTGATGTTCTTAATATCCAGAATTGCTCTGATTTGAAATGTTTTACTTTCCGTGCCARCTTCTGCTGCGGTTGTGTAAAACGTGCTTCATGCAGACTAAAGACATACAGGAAACGACTCTTCTACAGACATCTGGTAAATTCTTGATGCATTCCAAAGGCAAAAAAAAAAGGAAACTCACATGATTAAGTCATTAATTAGTCAGCTAGTTTAAAAAAAAGTCTGAAAACATTGATCATCCCTCGCAGACTGACTCTAGTTCATCTTCCCATTAAATTTATAATTGTAAAATTCCATTTCACGTCCATCCGACTAGCAAAATAAATCACACAAATAGTCCAAATATTGACCCTGTGTCAACAAATACTCTGTGTATTTTATTTGTTGGGCATATTTACTATGGGTTAGTCAAGGCTTGCCTCTGATTCGTCGTGGCTCGTGTTTTGGAGCAGACGAGGAACTTCACCGTGTCAGGGAGTGCCCTGAAAAGCAGAGAACATTCCTCAAATACTCCTCCAAGCAATTATCCAGACGGACTGAGAGGAGCATAAACAAAAACTATACCTGACCTTCAAATTCAAATATCATAATAGAAATGTTTAAATAGATTTTTAGTGGTTGTTTGGGTTCCTAAGAAAGCAGTGAGCTAAGATAAACGCTTTGTGTTTGACACTCTTCTTTGTCCTTATATAAATATAAAAACTGTTCATGTTAAAAGGTTGTAGTCTGCAGACAACGTGGCGTTTATTCAGAATAAACTGTTTTTTTGTTTCAGTCATTMTGTTATTCTGAGTGTTGTTGCGTTGCATGAAGAGCAGCGCAGCTCTGGCTGTTGAATGGGGTGGGAGGGGTGGGGGGAAAGGATGAGACCGTGTGTGTCACTCAATGAGCCCCTCCCACCTCCGTGCTTTATTTAAAGGCTCCCTGTCTGCTGTAGGAGCTAATAGCAGAGTGACACAACTGCCTTGCAGAACCAGAGGTGAACTCAAGCAACCTGTGGAGTACTCCTTCTGTCTTTCACAGCTGACTTTTTTGGAAGAAGAGCTGAAAATCAGGTACGTGCACTTTGCTTTTAAAGAACTGTTTGGCTTTGCTCCAAGCTGATGGCTTTATCCTTGCTTTTTTTTTCTTCTTTTTCTCTTCTTTTGAGGTCAAGGCACAAGTGTAGAGACAAGCGCAGGTTATCTGGCTAGTTATATAAGTAGTTCAGCTCTTATTATGTGTGTGTGTGCGAGGGAACTGYCTGACTTTAAGGTTACGGCATCCAACAGAAGCAGTGCATCACTTCTTATTTCTTCGCTGCAGTGGAAATTGTTCTGAATAACAAGTTTTACTAGACTCTGCCGAGTCTATTTTAAGCTCCGGTTGGCAGACTGTCCTTCACATTACTGGCTAGGGGCCCAAAGCATGGTTGCAGGTTTACTTAACCGAGACATCTCTGACCTTATCTTTTAACTTTTCTTTTTAAATAAATGAATGATGTGTGCAAATGATTTGGCTTTTGGACTCTTGAGTAAGAGAACCCAGTTGTGGTATGAGGGGAGCTTTACGTGCAACGGGGAGCACTATGGAAATTTCTGAGGCTAATTATTGATTTGTAGGGTCACTAATTAACCAATGAACTGTTTTCTCTACAGGAGCCAAGATGAAAACCATCATCCACTCCTTTCTCTGCTGCTGCCTGCTGGCTTCAGCAGRACACTGTGTGGAGCTCAAAGGGAATCCTGAGTTGAAAAAAAGGTGAGCTGACTGCAAAGACTTGTTAAAGAAAATGTTTGATTTGGATACAAAGCTTGTTGAATCATCGATCTAACACTAACAGTTCCCCCCACCTCTCTCCTTGCAGACTAAGCATTTGGATGGGGAGCAGAACGAGACGGGATCTTGAAAGTGTAGCAGTAGAGAAGAGAGCAGAGTCTGAGCCCTTCATCAGACCAGAGGATGTCAGGGATGCACTGCTYCCACATTCCAGGTAAGAAAAAAACAAAATTCGATCAACTGGTATTATGGTTACAACATAAAGGATTTCATAATTATAATCAGCTCATGGATGGACGGATCAATTAATGACCTTTTCCTTCGTCCTCCAGCACTGGCATCAACATTCGAACCAAGAGGTCTAAAATGTCCAGCAGGCAGGGCTGCTTGCTGGGCACCTGCGCGTATCATGACCTGGCACACCGCTTGCACGAGCTCAACACCTTGGGGAAGTCCAGCATCGCCCCCGCTGCCAAGATGAGCCCCAGTGGATACGGCCGGAGGCGTCGCTCTCTCCCAGAGCGGCGCATCACGCTGAGGCTGGAGGAGGGCAGGCTGAGACCCGCGTGGAGCACAAATAACTCCCAGGTTCACAAGCTGGAGGCTCTCCTCAGAAGGACATGAGCAGGAGCCTGAAAGTGGGAGTTGGGGGTTGGAACAAAAAAGCGAGGGAGGCGCTCTCCCTGAGCTTGTGTCCTCGGTGCTCCTTTTCCTTAATTCTAAAATGCCTCAAACCTCAGACTCTTGCCAAAGCATACTCCAGCACATTTGTTCCAGGCGTGAGGGCTGAGTCAGAGCTGAACTGGCTGCAGCGGAGCCTCTCTGCAGGCTGATCCCTGCGGCGCAGCGACCGAGAGGCTGCGCAGAGCCGCAGCTGGCTTAAAGACACTGGATGGCACAGTGTGGAGTGGACTACAGGTGCTGTAAGGAGGAGTGCAAATACCTGTCAAAATGAACACACCCTCTGGCTTTGAGASGGAACTTTCTACTAATACACTTTACACACCTATTCCTCAAGGCCAAGACTCTCCTAAGTGCTATCCTCGAAGGATTATACCACCACGTTCCACCAAACTGTCTGCACTTTTGTCTTTTTGGACTTAAATCCAATGAATCATCAGGAAAACACATCATCACTATGCCAAATGGGCAACAGAGCTCCGACACTCTCAGTTGATGTCGGGTTTTGGACACTGTATAAGGAAAAATGCCTTCAATTCTGTGAGCTTTCTGTGCCGGTCCATAATGGATTGAAATATACTTGAAAATGTTAATGTCTGTACAAAAAAACAAACAAACAAAAAAAAAAAAGCACGTGCAATCTAATATTTTTATGTATATGTATTACAGATATGTGTATATATGAATTATTTTATTTAAATATTATATAGAAGTTACAGTAAAGTACTTATGCAGATAAAGCTATTTTTGTACAGGAAGAATTATATATATATATATATATATGGGCATTGTAGCTATTTGTCATTATTCCTTTACAATCTGTGGTCATTGGAAATGTTATTTTTTATATATATAATTATGTTATTTTATATTTGTAAATGTGTTATTTTATTTGTGTCAAAGCAATAATGTCAAATAAACTTTTTGCATCAAAGATKCAGAGCTTGTTTCGATTTGTTTTGTTCTATATTAAAGGTGACATTTTCTGATCATTGGGCAACACTTTAAGAACCCGATCAGGTTCTCATTACAGCCCCACCTAACGACACCCCTCCCCAGTTATGACCCCCAACCTCCATCTTAAGAG